CCTCCGAGTGCTCTATGCATATGCCCATCTTTAGCTTCTGCTCTAACTGTTCCCACACATGTCATCTTGACAAGTTCCACTCCTTCAAGGTCACTCTAAGGCCATTTTCTCCAGGAGGACTACTTTGATTAATATTGCACCCTCCCCTTTGCCTCCATGTACTTCACCTACTTTTTCTTTTCTCCGTGTAACTACCTACTTTCTAACACATGCTTACTGTGGTTTTGCTTTTGGATTATTTCCTATCTCATGTACCCCTGGTATATAAGTTCCATGAATATAGAAATCTTGTGTCTTATATACTGAAGTATTCCAAGTACTTAGGCCAGTGCCTGGATCATAGTAGGTATAAAATAAATAACTGCTGAATGAGTAAGCTAACCATACTGGCTTTTGCATATAAGGTAAGACTGGGTGGAAGACCAGCATAAGGCCAGATTCATGAGCAGAATAAAAAGCTAGGAGTAGAACCTATAAGACTTAGTTTTTCTATACAGATCTCTTTGGACCGCATTCATCTCTAGAATTTCTGCAAAAATACTTTTAAGGTTTTCCTATTAGAGAAAGTTAATGAAACACTATACACACACACACACACACACACACACACACACAAATCCTGGGACACCAACTATCTAGGTTTTTCTCTTTTTATAAACTTCTCTCTCTGTGTAAGATCACCCCAGAATGATTACCAGTTTTATTTTCTTAATCTAAGTTCTATTCTCATTACCATTCCATTTCTATTTTTTATCCTCAGGGAAAGAGAGAGCAGTTACTGCCAGGGCATTCTCACATCTTCCAAAGAAATGGCATAGGTGTTAAACTCGAATTTGTGTTTGATGTGGGTAATGATGGCTATGACTAGAGCTGCAGGTTTATTAATATGCAGGGCTCTCACCTCATTAGTGGCGATGTATGTTTTGAAGTTAAGCTGCAATGTTTGCTGTAGTGTCTGATCTGGCCTAATAGACTTTCTCACTGTTCATTTTCTTTGCTTTTACCCACAGTCAGCAATGTTATGCTTACAGGGCTCTCACGTATGCCTTCTGATAAGGACAGTTTTTCCATAGTAGTTAATCTTGGTGGGAATTTCAAACATTTGAAATAATTATGTCCTCTTGTGGTATCATCGTATGTTTGCTTTATCTTAGAGAAAAGATTTACAAAATTTTTGATCCAGTAATATAAAGTATAGTAAACTCTCTCCTTGGCTGTTTTTTGGAGTGGGATAGCCTTATTAACAGAATAAAATGATCAATTCAAAATTTTAATAAAAGCATATGAGTATATAATAGGCTATAAAGTACTCTTACACATATAATCTCAGCCAAATATTAAAGAGGAAAATAAACAATAGTAACAACTGACTAAATATAATATATGATGACCCACTATGAATAGTGACTACTGTATTTGAATTCCCAACAACTCCCAGTTGACATAAAACACTACCAAATAAACTCTGGCCACACTAACAAGCCTCATGGGATGGTGCTCTGTCACTGATTACTGCTCAGATTTCATTCTATGGTCTTCACTGGATATACTAAGGGAAAGACTCCAGATTCTCAACAATTTGTTTGGAAGTCATTAGCTATATTTTGTAAGTTCTACAATATTCTATTTCTCTGTACATTTTCTATAGATAAAAATTCGGGAATGAATTTGGCATTCCAAGGAAACCATTTATTTGTAAGAAAGAGTTTGTTCTCTTTTTATGTTAGGAGATTGAACATATCTCCATTCTTTTTTAAAAATATTTTGTTTTTAGTTGGACACAATACCTTTATTTTATTTTTATGTGGTGCTGAGGATCAAACCCAGTGCTCTGTGCCTGCTAGGTGAGCACTGTACCTTGAGCCACAACCCCAGCTTTCCATTCTTAATTTTTAAAAATTTGGGCTCATAAGTATAAATCAGTGTCTCCTTTTTTCTTGCTATGCTGGTTTTGAGGGGCAGCATCAGAAACCAACACTCAGAGGAGAACCCAGGTACACAGACCAAGACAAAGGAGAAGCTTATGATGACTTGTAAGTATTTTATCTCACCATCTTCTTTTCCCTGTCTGTCCTCTCACAAAGCTTGACCAGGCTCTCCCACTTCTTGAAAAAGGACCTGTCTTTGATTTGACAATGTGACACATATTCAGCTAGAATTCCCATCATCAATCAGAGGAAGCAAAAATGAGTATATGTGCTTTTAAGAAGGTACAGCAACAAGCTCATATAGCAAAAGCGTATAAACAAGTATATTACCTACTTAATTGCCTTAGCTGAACTTAAAAGCTCTGATCTTTAATTGCCTGATTGAACTCATCTAAAAAGCTACAATTTTTTAATCAAGGAGAAAATTAAATAGCTTTTGGTAAATAAAAAGGCATCTTTAATCTTAGTTTTATGGAATCCAAGTTATTAAATATGGACAAAACCTCTAAAATATTAAGTTAACAGCTACTCAATCTAGGGTAAATTTCTCATTACAATGCTTTACAAAAGTCTTCAGGGACATCTGGCTTCTTCTGTTCTTCAATAAAAAACACATGCTTTTAAATCTAGAAGGTAAAAGTTTCCATGAATAGCTAGGAAACATGTAAGTATATTTAATGAGGTCTATTACCACAGCCTACTGATTTCTACTGCTGAGTGCCCATGAACTACTGTTCATCGGCACTGTAATTCACTGGTTTTCCCTGACAGACAGGCATACATGCGCATACACTCCCTGGCCCCTACTGAGAACTCAATCCTTGAGAGGATCTGTTGGCCCACCAGCATGGCCCTCACTCACATCTTCCCACAACAGTGGTATTTTATAGTGGGCTACTCTGTGGGGATTGGCTGGGTCAGCAAAGACTGAAAAGAAAAGTACAAGTTCAGATTCTCTTTTGAAACCTTCCTTCCCTCAAACAGGGCATGCATCACTTCACTGCAGCCCACATCCATCACAAATTGGAAAGCTCTTTCTTCGCCTGAGCTACAACCAGCATCTGCCACTCTCTGAGAGCTCTGGTCAATCATATTTGCCCACAGAGACCACAGGATCATTGTTCTAGGAATCTGAGCCCACACTTCATTTTCCAATCTAGATAAAAACATTTGAAACATGTCTATCAAGATCTCAATTAAAATTAAAAAACGCAGTGATTTCTCTCAAACACAGAGTAAAACTAAAACCAAATAATACAGACACAGGAATATCAGAGGTACATCAACTTGTCAGCATAATTTCCAATTTTAAAGAAGAAAAGCCAAGTTGATTTCAGAATATCTAAAACATATTTTGCTGCACTTTAGAGTTCTTGGTGCTACTAAATTGTTTCAGGAAGTTATGGCTAGGACAATTCACTACAAGCCAGAATGATCCTGCACACCTGGAGTACAGAATGGTCCGAAGACTCATGTTCATCACAACACTCTCATTTCATGGTATAGTCCTTCTAATGAAGGCTCTGTGACTAAGCTCTATTTCTTCCTCTAGTTTCTTAGTCAAATGGACAGCAGGTGCTCAAAAAACAAAAAACAAACAAACAAAAAAACAACAATGAAATGACGAGAATTGACCACTGGGTTAATCCTATTAAAATGGCTTAACCACTTTATGGGTTGGTGGGTATACGGAGGTAGAAGGACAGGGAACAGAAAGGAGCAATATAAGCCACATAATGTTAAATAACATTCCCTTAATCTTGATGGTGAAAAATGTTTCATTTTTCTTTCCCTCACCAGATGTGTTTACATACTGATTTATACCCAGGGAAAGTAATACTAATACAGCTCAGTTCAGTTTATTCACCCTGCATCTATATTCTGTACCAACTATAATACAGAGATAGAGTATCTTTAATAAAAAATTTGGTTTATGATTTTGCAGGGGGAGGGGACTGGGGACTAAACTTAATGGTACTTTACCACTGATCTATATCCCGACATCCCTATACTCCCTATACTCCCTCTTCTTTTGGAGATAGGTCTTGCTAAAATATTGAGGCTGACTTCAAACTCACAACCCTTCTGTTTCAACCCCCCAAGTCACTTGGATTACAGGCATGCATAGCTTATGATTCCACTGAATCAACATAAACAACTTCAAGAACTGAATAGTTTACTTGTTAAAATCTAAATATCTTCTTTAAGAGAAAGAATTTAAGAAGAAATTGGAAACACTAGGAATTAAAACCACCCACAAAAGAAAATAATGCTTGGTGACAGATATGATAATACACTTGATGATATCAGCTGTTTTCTCCCTCTCTTGATTTATACCTTTAAAAAAATACTTTCCTTTAATTACATCTAATTGTATGCTGTTTCATTCTCCAAATGTACATAAAGCTAGGATGAGCAGATGTGTAAAATCAAACAGCACTATTTTAGCATTAGGCCCTGAAGTTGCTTTGTTATTGTCTCTTTCTCACTTAATAATTCGCTGCAAATGAATTTAGACATTTTGAGAACATTAAAAAAACACGAGGAGATTCCTTTTGCAACTTTCAACAGTCTTCTGATTATTTTCTCATGTGTTTTGTGACTCAATCAAGGGATTGTTTCTGATGCTATCACCACTTACTTACTTCAAGTTTTACTTTCCAGGTATATAAGCAATCTCTTAAGGAACAATACATAATGACGTCTGAAATATTAATAAAAGGCAGGGTGCAACTGAACAAAAAGTGAAGGTTTTGCACTACCTAGAGTTAAGTAAGACAATCAAATCCTGTCACTTTCAATCACTATGAAATATCTTTTTACATATTTGGTAAATGTGATTCACAAAAATATAACACCAAGTTTATAATATAAATGAGAGAAAAAAACAAGAAAATAAAAGAAAGCAAAAAAAAAAAAAAAACCCAACATAAACAAGCATCTTTTTGACTTCCAAATATATCAGCTAGCATAAATGTCAGATCATTTTCCCCACTTTAAAAATCAAGGTATCTAGAGAGCTTCACCCTACCCCACCCCAAATTAAATCAGAGCTTATAACCCAGCACATACCTCTGTGTAAAATCTTTAAACTCCACAAATAGGTAAGGCCTTTAACAACCTAAATTTATAAAAGAAAAAACAGTATAATTATGGGGAACTTTCAACAGTTAAACATATCAACTGTAATTTTTCTTTTATAAGTCTAGAAACCAACAAGCTTTATTGAACATCTACCATTTCTGTGCCAGGTTCTGTGGGGACAAAGCTACATGTTCCTGCCTAGTTAGTTTATAATGTTCTGAAGATAAAGTACGCCAAGTGAAAGAAAGAAGTCTATGTATACAAAATGATCTGGAAGGCTATATACTATACTCTTTTTTAAAAAAAATATTTTTCAAAGAGAGAGAGGGAGAGGGAAAGAGAGAGAGAGAGAGAGAGAGAATTTTTAAATTTTTTTTTTAAAGTTTTCGGCAGACACAACATCTTTGTTTGTATGTGGTGCTAAGGATAGAACCCCGGGCTGCACGCATGCCAGGCGAGCGCGCTACCGCTTGAGCCACATCCCCAGCCCTATACTAAACTCTTAATGGTGCTACGGGCAGGGGAGGAGAGGGACAAAAAAAAAAAAGGACAAAAAAAATTGTTTATACTTCTGTATGATTTTGTTTGAAGTCAAGACATTTTCGAACAAGGAGAGTGTGTGTGTGTGTGTGTGTGTGTGTGTGTGTGTGTGTTGCTAAGCACATGCTTTATCACTGAATTACATCCCCAGCCTGAGAAATTTCCAAAAAGATAACTAATAAAATAAGGCAGTGCATAGAATAGGAATCATTTTTCCTACCATTAGTCAGGAAGCCCTCACCTTCACAAGAAAGTCAAGGGAAAAAGACATTTTCACCAAATGTACTAAAATGTTAATTGGGGAACCTCGATGAATCATCTGCAGGAATTCTTTGTAATATTCTCACAACTATTTTTTTTTTGTAAATTTAAAATAATTTCAATATAAAAAGCTTTTTAAAAGCTTAAAAAAATTATCAGCGTAGGAAGGAATAAAATATACCAAGACAATTCTGGTGTAAAGCATGTATGTGGAGGAGTCACACAGACAATACTGAAAGCACAGGTCACAAAATGAGAAAATACAAACATTTGGAATTAGATTTGAATTTTTGTCTGTAATAGGCTAGAATTAAGAATAATCAGCCAATGAGATATTGAATAAAGACATTTTAAAGATCTTAAGTACAAAGGTTACAAAGTGAACTTCTTTGTGGAAAATCTAATCAGAGGTTGCTGTTAAAAACCTAAAAGCCCAACTGCATGAGGTGAGGCTCTGGAGTCAATCACCAGCACTACAAAAATGAAACTTGCAAAATCTTTATACAAAGATTGTTGTACAGGGAGACGTACCTTTTATTCACAACCATTGACCCTGTAGGCACATGAACATACACTTACAATTTCAAGGTTGGCAATTGGTAATTAGATACCATAATTATGAAACTCAAAACTTCCCAGAAGAATTTAAAAGTACCCATCATTATAGAAAATATTAGGTAGTCAGAGCTATATTAACAAGAACACTTACCACAATGAAAAATAATGAGTGGTTTAATATCTTAAAATGACAAAAAGAGGGCTGGGGCTAAATACAGAAAGATTTTAGTTGATCAAGAAAGACTAAGGGCAACATTAAAAACAGAAATGCAAAGGAGAAAACCAACTACTTCTACTAAAGAGGTAGAAGACAACAATCTATACCAATTAATATAGAGCAGAGGTTAACATATTTTAATTGTTCTCATAGAGTAGAATGTACTCCTGAAAGATTTGCTAACATAGTATGATCAACGCTATTGATTCTAAGAGAAAAAAAAACATTTTTATAGAAAATTATTTCTTCTAAAATTTGGAATGAGACATTACAATAAAATGTATTCTGAAAAGTTAAACATAAAAAAGGAAATGTTAAAATATTAATAATGCAATATATATTATACACATGTATTGAAATGTCAACTGTCCTCCATAAATACATAATTGCAGTCAACCAAAAATTTTTTAAAAAGTAAGTAAAAAATATTAATGATAATTTTATAACAGAAAAAAGGACAAAATATTTCTTTAAATGTTTATAATAATACTATCAATAATGACTACAGTTTTCTCTTTGAGTTGTAGGAGGTTACCTTATTTAGCCTTAGTTCTGAGGAGTCTGGGTGTTTTAAACTTAGAAATTGTTGAATATTGGGCTGGGGTAGTACTCAGTGGTAGAGTGGTCAACTAGCATATGCAAAGCCCTGAGTTCGATTCTCAGCACCATGTAAAAAATAAATAAAATAAAGGTATTGTGTCCAACTAAAACTAAAAAATAAATATTTTTTAAAAAATAAATTATTGTGTATTATAAAGCCTGCCCATTATAGACAGCAAACCACTAAAATTGTTTCAACAAAGCGAATAATCTGAAAACACTCCACAAAGGGGAGGCAATCCAACATATTCAGATTGTCAAGTAGTAAAAAGATAAAACAAATAGTTTCTTGATTTTATGATACTGCTAAAATTATAAATTTTTTAGAGATTCAAAAAGAAACTGTTCTTCCAACTATCAAAGTAGACTACATTTTCCTTTAAAGCATTTAAGTATCAGTGTAAAATAAGCTAGAAATCTATCTATTGAAAATTTAGAAAGTATTATAGGTATTCAGTAGGCTAGGTTTCAAAACAATGACTTGACAAAGCCTTGACACTAAAAGTATTTATATCTGCTGTCAATCACTCACTCCTTGACATGTCAAGTACACATCCTTTCAGGGACAACTTCAATCAACATTAGCACTCAAAATACAGTACACGGTGTCACTGCTTCAAAAATGTGAGGAAAAATAAAATGTGTTAGATGGCAGGAAAGCATTCCTTTTTACAGGAGACCAGATTCAAATGAATAGTGGATAAAAATCATGGAGCAGGTTGGAAGGCTGAAATCAGACAGTTTATATGGATTTCTTCAAGGAAAAATTCCCTCCTGCCATATATCCTACGAGAGAAAATTTGAACAACATATCACAGAGGCTGACAGAGGTCAATCCTGTAATGAACTTTGGCTCTATGGGTTTGCCTTGCATGTCAGATCATTAAAACCTGGAAAATAAAGTTCACTTGAGGAAAAAGGGATGCCTTAAATGTAGTTCTAAGACATGAAGAGAATCTGACGCTGGGTGCAGTCGTGCACACCTGAAGTCCCTGCTACTTGTAAGGCTGAGGCAGGAGGTTCACTTGAGTCCAGGAGTTCAGGACCAGCCTGGGCAACACAACGAGACTTGGTCTCAAAATTAATTTGAAGCAATTATATGTATTACCTTATTACTCTTTCACTTGTAATTTTTTATCCCCCCCTTTTTTTCTTTTTGGGTGGTACTAGAAAACAAACCTAGGCCTTGCATATGCCAGACAAGCACTCTATCACTGAGCTCCTGCCAGCCCTCTTCTCTTTTTTTTTAAACTAGTTCTCACCTTCACTTCTCCCTCTTATTTCCTCCCACTGAGACTCTTAGGAAAGCTGCATAAAAGAGCAATGGGCCTGGAGTTCGACAGCCCTGGGCCTGGGGTTAGATAGCCCTGTGTTCAAATTGGCACTAATTAGACAATAACTCTAGGTAAGTTATTTAACTTTCCTAAACCTCATGTTGCATAATACAACATATATTCAACAGTCTGAAGTTTATAGGGTTGCTATGAAGACTAAATGACATAATATTTGTATATCAACTTATAACAATGATTGGGACATGAAGTATTCAACAAACACCTATTTCCCATCTTGACCCTGATCTTTTAAACTTGGCATCAGCTAAAACTATATTCATGTGCCCACTAAGGGAACTCAAGAAGTTGATGTTATCTTTGGAACATTACAGGACAAAGAATCACAAATACTGGAAATCCAACCAGGCTTATTAGAACATGTATTTTACAAATCATAACCTTTGACCTATTAATCTGCTAGTCATATTTTAATTGGCACAGTCCTCCCAGTGTCAGGCGTTAGCCATGTGCCAATCTGGCATATGTTGGTTTCAACAAAGGATTATCCAATTTGGGGACCTACTCAGATTATACACACACACACACACACACACACACACACACACACACACACACTTTGAAGGTATTATACAAGCTTAAGTCCCCAGCAGAGTTCTTGAAAAGCGACGAGAAGAGCAAAATTATCAAAAGCCTTTCTTCTACTCCAGCCATAAGCAGTTTTCATTACTATAATCTGACAAAGCATAAAAGCTGGAGAAACTGGACATACTTTAGAAATCACCCCCAAATTTAAAAAATGTAAAGGCATATTATCAATGACTTAAATGAGCACTTATTTTAACAACTGTCACTAAAATAATCTGTCATATTTTCAGTTACCCAATAGGCAAGCCCTGTATTTAAAGCTTGCTTATTTTTTCTGCTGACTGTGTCCACTTCCTAGCCTTCCCACTCCAACAGAAAAGAGCAGTGGCCTTGCTTGGCTGCCCCACACGAGAGGCAGGCAAGGTTTATGATGTCCCAGAAAAACACGCTTCTCTATTTTTGCCAAGTTCAATAGATAATTGAGTACACAGAACTTGTAAATTTCTTTTTTTTTCAGTTTATATTCTTTGCTTTTTTTCACCCTTTATCATACGTGTTATTAAACTTTAGAGCCAATAACTGCCAAAAGCCACAAAGCATTCCATCCCCCCCTGAGATTAGAAAAGGAAATGAAACATTTTTATTTTCATCTAAACAAGTGATTTAAGTACTCAGATTTCATATGAATCTACCTACACATGTAGATTAGAAGCTACTTAGCAGCAATAGCATCAGAAAAGAAAGTTCTCATCACCTTGAGCAGTTCACACCAATAATTAGAGAGAAAAAAGGAAAGCTGTGAATTACAATGAACTAAGACTAAATAAGTGTTCATGTTGGATTAAAGAATTTGAGTTGTCAGTTTGATGTATAATGAATGTGAAAATAAGCCATTTAATTAAATGGTACATGATATGATCACTTTGTTCTGCATTAAACCATTTAAATTATCAGAGTGCCTTTAGTTTAGCAATTGTTTACTATTATACCACCCTATGACTTCTCTTAGACACTGTTTAGCCTACATTATTCCAAATTTGAAACCTGGAACTTACACAGAAATGTTAGTTTAGTTGATATATTTCATCAGTTTATTAGTGAAATCAGGAAACAGAAAAGCTGCTTTTAATGACAAAGGGAATAAGCTCCTAGTTGTAGTTGATAAAAAAAAAAATGAAAAAAATGAAGAACATAAAAAAGATTGCAAAAATATTTAAGAGCAAAGTAGCATTTTTTGTATGTTTTTAATGATTTGGACTTTTAAGTATTTACTAATTTTATGCCTATAACTACAACATGTTCAAAACACTAGTTATCTTTTGAAGAGGCTGAGAATTCTAGTGGTCAACCTGATCACTATGGTCTCTGCAAACCCAGGATATAGAAAAGGTGAGAGTACCACTGAGCCTAAGAGGTATCAATGTGCTGTGTTGGGGGTTAGTCTATGAAGGGGAGAAAAGACAAAAATGATAAAAGCTGAAGGCAACTAAGAAGAATCTGATAGTCAACTGAAAGTGAGGGAAAAAAAATACTGAAGACATAAAAGTAGGCTTAACTAGAAGGATCAAATCACTCAAATTTCCCAAGCCATATACTTACTGCTACTGCAATTCTTCCAAGGACATGTTCTGGAATTTTCCTATATACATCCAAAGATCCCCCTGCAAGAGACAAACATCTTGTGTTACCTCAAATGCAACTACTAGAACAGGGCACAATCATGGTGAGAATGTTTTTCTTCTTATATCATGCGTTGAAGTATGACTAGTCATCATGAAATATAACTAAACACTTCTATTTTATTCCCAATTGTGCGGTCACCTACAAGAAAAAAACTGAAGGACATTAGTCCAGGGCAGACTAAGAATCTGTATTTTATAGAAACGTGAATACACACGTACAAAAAAACAAACAAACAAACAAAAAAACTAAAGATTAACATGACAATCACACTTGTCATATCATTTGTGTGCCAGTTTTCTCAAATGTAAACCACAGCCTCATCTAGAAAGTTTTACATTAGCCAAATAAAAGCTGGTGGATATGAAGTTCAAAACACACAGTGACTTAAAAAGCAAAAATAGCAATGTTACTATTTTATCTTAATGAATGTTACCTTCAAATTAGGTACCAAAACAAGCAATCAATCTATTTTCAAGATACTTTCTTGGTTTTCTGGAAAGTCTCTTTGGAAAATGACTTTATGAGGTAAAAAAGAAAAACCAGTATCTTTATATAATAACTTATTTTTTACCAAATGGTTTTCACTAACATCCTTCATCTTTACCAAATTCAGCTTTAAATGATTTTTTTGCCAATTAAAAAAACAATAAATTATGAATATAATTAAGACAGCAATCATGTTTTTTTTTGTTTGTTTTCATTTTTATCAGTCTAGACATTACACAATTAGCACATAGTAGGTGTTTAAAAATATCTGTCAGGGACTGGGGTTGTGGCTCAGTAGTAGAGCGCTCTCCTTGTATGTGTGAGACCCTGGATTCTACCCTCAGCACCACATAAAAATAAATAAAGAAAATAAAGGTATCAAAAAAAAATCTGTCAGATAAATCAATGCATGAGTGAAAACTACCATGAATCTCACCAGATAGGTGCAGTTGCTCTGAAGCAATTCCAAAGAAGGAACCCACACCATTTGTAGCAACAATAGCATCACTGAAATAACTGAAATTTCATAGGTGACTATTTTGAAGAAATCAATATTCTTTGGAAGTATAAATTTGGGTATGCTTATTAAATTTTCAATATCATATTAGTAGTATAAGAACTTCAACAATATAGTTTATGCAAAGAACTATTACTTCATTCATTAATGACATAAGACTAATAATGTATGATGACTTATTTTTTTGATTGTGGATGGACACAATATTATCCATTTATTTATTTATCTATCTATCTATCTATTTATTTATGTGGTGCTGAGGATCGAACCCAGTGCCTCACACATGCCAGATGAGTGTGATAATACTGCGCCACAACCCCAGCCCTGATAACATTTTTTAAGAGTCAAATTAAGGTGCACAGCCTTCCATTTGTACAAAGAAACTGTCCAGAATATTTGAGATTTTTTTCACATCAAAGGCTAAAAATTAATATTTACCATTTTACTATTGGATGATTTACAAGGTATTAAGCTGAAGCATATTACTCTTGAAATGTTGTCAAGTATACAAATGTTTACATTTTTATGTCTCATTTTCCTAAAACTGGAACATCAGAAAAAAATTATTTTCTTTATAAAAATATTGTATATATGGGCTGGGGCAGTGGCTCAGTGGTAGAATACTTGCTTTGCATGTGTGAGGCACAGGGTTTGATCCTCAGCACCACATAAAAATGAATTAATAAGGTGCTGGGTTGTGGCTCAGTGGTAGAGCTCCTGCCTAGCATGTGTAAGGCCCTGAGTTTGAGTTTCAGTACCACATAAAAATAAATAAATTAAAGGTGTTGTGTCCAACTACAACTAGAAAATAAATATATTTTAAAAAATGAATTAATAGGGGTGGGGCTGGGGCTCAGTGGTAGCGCGATCGCCTAGCCATGGGAGGCTCTAGGTCTGATCCTCAGCACCACATAAAAATAAATAACATAAAGACGATATTAAGGGGCTGGGGATGTGGCTCAAGTGGTAGCGTGCTCACCTGGCATGCACGGGGTGCTGGGTTCGATCCTCAGCACCACATAAAAATGGAATAAAGATGTTGTGTCCACTGAAAACTAAAAAATAAATATTAAAAAAAAGGACGATATTAAAAAAAGACAGACAGATTGTGAGGTCTGGTTTATCCCTAAATAATAGACATTTATATACTTGGAAATTGGTGTTTTCACTCCAGGGAGCACTTTTCCTGAAAACTCCAGCCAATTGCTAGAGACTACCTGTACCTGTGCCTGCCTTAGCTTAGATTCCATTCCCTGTGCCTGCCTTAGCTTAGATTCTCAGAGACATCTTTTAAAGGCCATTGGAACTCAAAAAAAAAAAAAAAATACTCAAACAAAAAAAACAAACTAAAAATAAAGGTATTATGTCCTTCTACAACTAGAAAAATTTAAAAATATTGTAAATGAACACATAAAGCTACTGGCTTTCTACCATCTTGTTTAAAGCAAATAGAGGAAAATTATAATTCTTTTAGGTAAGTTTTGCTTGTACTTTTTAGATTCTAACAAGAAGCTGGGAAACCACAGTATAACTAAACCTTATGCATTGGCTCTAGGGGCTAATGGGAAAACCATGAAGAAAAAAAAAAAGAAAAAGACAGGTCTAATGAGCAGAACCATCCTTACTTACTAAAGCAGAACTTTTATTATAGATTCAATGAAAGTGAAAATGTGGCAGAAAAATAAGTTTATATTCTCATTGATCTTTTAGATGAACTGGCAATTCCAAGGATAAATAAGCTGCAGAAGATCGAGGTTTCCAGGTTAGTCCTGGGAAGGCTGGTAGCTCATTGAGCTGATCCCTTGGGAAAGGAACAGCTTGAGGGATACAGAACCTGGAGGTGCAAACTCATGCATATGTACCAGGACAAAGTCCTTGGTGAGGAGTTTTATTTTTACAAGGGGAGTGAATTAGAGTTTGATTAGCTAAATGAACAATGGTTTAAACAAGCTGAACCAAAAAGTCAAAGATTATCTTACCACCATTATCAGCAGAATAAGCAAAAAAGGAATCCCATTTTGAGGTAGTTCACTGGTTTTTGTAAATACCTCTTTAATCTCAGATCCTGCCTTCCTTAGACCTCCATGGATAAATCTTTACACAGCTGGCTCTGGTTCATCACTGATTCATCCTGTCCTTTCCATGTTCACAAGAGATACATGTCAGAGATGAAAAATAATGTAGCAGATCCACACAGAATCAAAAGTTCCTGTTAAGCCCTTTGTGCAGTTTGGTAACTCTTATCAGGCTAAAAATTGAAGAGAGTTCTGGTTTAATTTTTATTCAGTTTTACTATCATTTCTATCCTACAAATCTTTCCTAAAATGTTGGCTTTTTGTTGTTGTTTGTTTGTTTGTTTTAGTTCTGGGAAACGAACTGAGGGCCTTGCACATGCAAGGCAAGCCCTCTATCTTTGACAAATGGGAGAAAACTGAGTCCCAGAGATGTGAGTGTTATAGCATAGACATGAGTCAGTTGACGAAGAGCTCAGAGAAGACCTGACCCTTTGAACTCCCCAAAATGCAAAGATCTAAAAAGTTCCCCAATAACATTACACAGCTTTAGAGTCACAAAGGAACTTTTTTATAGCTTAAAGAAATCCCACTGCAATGTTGTGTTATTAAAACGCATACGGACAGAGTTTAATCTTAGCTGAGATGATGGTATTCAAGATATTCAGGAACTCATTTGTGGCTCCTAGGTTTCAAACATTTTGTTTATTATTCCAAGGTCACTGGTTTGCTTGCTGTGACCTGCCACTTCCTTGTGTTATTTGGCCACCTAACATTCCTGGCCAGATATTTCCCTGCATGCCCTATTCACCATGGGAACCAAGAGGAAGACTGCCAGTAGTAGATTAGTAAAAACCCATGCCAATTGATAAACTACTACACACTTCTATTGATAAATCAGGACCACCACTGTTGTAAAAGTAGACCAAAGGGTCCTATTAAGGATCTAAAACAGAAAGTAGTTATCATGCACATAAGATAAATATAAATATGTAGTAAATGAACAAGAGGCAACATTAGTTTTATTAGTCCCAAAATTTGCCTTAAAATGACCATGATTATTATTAATGTCAACTAAATGAAATCATGAACCACAAGCAAAAATTTCAGTAGAAACTCTCTTAGTTCCTGCTGGTTGAAAATATAAAAAGCCCTTTCTTTGCAATAGGGTATTTTATTTTGTGGGGATGGATCAATTTATTCCTGTGATGATAATTTAAATACGTGTATATGTACTGAGACCTACTATTTGGATGTTTGAGTGAACTTAAGCTAAGACTTAATAAAAAGGTTGACTACACATCACTCCCCTACTTAGAACTTTCCAAAGGCTTCCTAATAAAGTCAGACTAAAACCTAAATTTCCTTGCCGTGGTGGACAAGGTCGCTACAATCTTGCTTCTGTCTGCTGCTCTGATCTCCTGTTGAGCCACAGGTCCTCTCATCATTACTCTCTAGTCACTTAAACCTTCTTGATTACATCAAACTTGCTCCCACCTTGCAGCATTTATACTCGATACTCCTTCGACCTTGAAGCTCTTCCCCATGACCTTCCCTGAGCTAACTCAATGACATTAAGGTCTCTGTTACAATGCCATCTCTTAAAAAAAAAAAAAGCCATCACTGACCACTCTATCTAGACTCCTCTATCTACTCTGGATTATAACTGGACAAAACCTTCCCAAATTTGACAAAAAATATTAATCTATACATCCCAAAAGTTTATTAAATTCCATAAAGATAGATTCAAAGAAATTCATACCTAAACACATCATATGAAACTTCCCATAGCCAATGACAAAAAGAGAATCTTGAAAGCAGCAGAAGACTCAACGTATTATAAGAACTCCTATATAAGATCAATGGTTGATTATTCATAAAAAACTATGGAGATCAGAGGCAATGGAATGGTACATTCAAATATCTTTAAAAAACATGATCAAGCAATCACTCTAAAACTATC